TCTTTCCATTAAAAATAACAAGGTCATGGCTCATGGCTTGTCAAAATGGGCTTCACGTGCTCATGTACCGAGTGGTAGGTAGACAGTTAGGCAAGTGAGTAAAGACAAAGAAAATTGCCTCATTTCTTCAACTTCGCTGCTCACTATGAAGATTGAAGGAACAGATGCTCTTATAAATACGAGGAAAGGGAAGGAAAAACAGCTTGGCTGGATTATGGTCTTGAACCCTAGACACCCAGTTTGTCATTTTAATTCTGATAGCCAGGATTGCCAGCTCTTCTTCAGTCATATAATACTTGGCAGTGAGACGGGAAGGCAGGGAGGAATAAATTCCAGCATATTTCCTGCTTCCTAGATGTCTCTAGCTCTTGAGAAAATGCTATAAAGTTTGGAAATGAGATGGGTTAAACCTTGAAGTAGAAGGGTAAAATTGGAAATATTAAATACTTTTTTTTGTTTTTACAAAATATGGGTTTTAAATCAGTTTAGGAATTAGGATTTTTAGTATCTGAAAGTACCGGTATTGACCGTTAAGGGCTAACCTCTGAAATTCTTGCAGAAGGCAGCCTGTTCCATCCAAGATAATAGGCATTACACCAGATACAACAAAACCTTTGTAAACGTGTCATTTGGTTAGGAACTGTATTCTGTTATGACTTCCTGCTGTTGAAATCAGAACTAATTCCCCTAACTTTACTTGGTCTTACTTTGGGTTTACTCTAAGAATAAGCTGGACCAAATAGTGAGGCCAAGTTTAGGTAATTTCCATTTTGCTGTATGTGAAGTCAATGTACCTATAAAGATTTAAAAATCTAGGCATGCTTAATATGTGCGGAGCAGTGGCCAAATTTGTAGAGTCCTGCCTGGAGTTTACCAGGATTTGGAATTCCTTTAAGAAGAAGGCTAAATTGCCCTCTGGGGAATGGAGCAGTGATTTATGTCCTCTTGAGCTGCAGTGGCAGAACTAGAAAACGTCAGTGGAGATTTTGTTGTACTTCAGCATTAACACTGGCTGCCCTTTGGCCGCTTTGAGGTCATTTTCATTTAAGATTCTTGATTTTTGCTTGGTATGGTTGGGTAAAAGAAGCTTTCTTCTTACACGTTATGGTATCTGTGTGGGGGGATGAATAGGTCCAGTCTTTCTAATTTGAAGGCTCCATTTGAAGAATGGCAGAAAGAATAAGCAAGCACCTGATACAGAGACACTGCTCCACTAATCTTAACCTTTCAGATTTTATCAGCACTAAAATCAGTATTCATGTGGACAGTTGGCTGGGATTTGTACAGCACTGGATGCATGCCAATTTTGCCAGTCAATGGCTAACAGTTTTATTCAGTATCTCATTCAAGTAGTTTTAAGTATTGCTTCAAGTTCCACTGCAACTATTTTCCCCTTGATATTACTTTCTTGACTCTCCTATGTGAACCAGTTTCTAGGGGCTTGGTTCGGTCAAAGTAAGACATCTACTATTTCTCCTTCATTTGTCTTGTTTCTAGAGGGAAATGAGATCGGCTCAACCCAATGGTAGTTGTTGCTAAGCTATTCAAGCAATTGTAGACTTATGCAATGTATGTATTTTTGTAGAAAAATCACTGGTTTGGTCCACTCTTCTGTGCTGAGTAATGAGAAGACTAACAAGATATAAGAGGATTCTTGGGTGAAATGGAGATCTCCACATACCATACCTTGCATCAGTAGATCAAGCAAGGTGGACCGTTTCTGGTCAAACTAGAGGGAAGTCAAAGATATTTACTAGATCAATAAAACACCTTGTTAATTTTCTTCACTTCCATTGAAATATTCCTTAGAATAGTTAATGAGATCTAACAAGAATTAGAAAGAAGATGTTTCCAGGAAGCCCAATGGATGTTTTTCAAAATCCTGTAATATCTGGAAGCTGCAAATTTACGTTCTGGTGAAACAACCCCATATTTACTTTTGTGGAATCAGTAGCCGAGACTGGACTGTGGTAGTGTTGTGATACAGTGTGATGGGTATATAGGGAGTTATAATACCAAAATGTACTGCTAAACCTAAACATACCGTGTTATGTTTGCAGTGCAAAGAAAGGCCAGACCACAGAGAGCCAGATAGCAAACAGATGATCTGTATAGCATTATTAAAGAGACAGTAATATGGTATTATCATTAAAAAGGTTGTCCACTGAATCGAACTCAAACTGTTTAAAGGCATAAATATTAAGGCGAGTAAAAAAACCTAGCATTTAAGGGAAACAGACCAAGAAGCAATAGGCAGCATGAGCTGATGATGGAGGAAAAATCATGTCAGGTAAACTTGATTAATATTTTGGAGATTGAATTACAGATGGCTGTAATGGAACATGTATAATTTGTGTGGTGGTCAGATCCTGCTCCTGTTTATGCAGATGAAAATCCCGACCGACTCTGTTTTCCTAAAAGACAGTGTGTTTACTGAGAGGACATGGTGCACTTAAGGAGCTTGTGCCACATGTTTTATGGTCTGGGATGTGGTTATGAGGGTGTGCCAGGAGCGATGGAGAATGCAAACCATGGTGGGGGAATGTCAGAGGACATTAAGTTTGAAGGGCACTGGTTGGAACACCCCACAACAGAGCTGCAGGTTGACAATGGGAACAGCTCTAGGTCTTGCTTCCAGCATTTCCCTGTTCAGCAACAGAGATGCATCCTGGATCACAGGCTAATTAATCCAAGGCAATTTACTGAATGAACCTGTGCTACGCTCACAGTTCCAGAATGTGCACAGCTTCCTTTTGCAATGGGAATTAAGATCCCACAGACAATGTCTCAACTGCTGATAAAAAGCATGTCTCAACATGCTGATAAAGCATGTACTCAGATTATGAAGGGTATTAAGGTGCGAGGTAGTGACAGAACAGTAATATTGCAGAAACTGATCTGATTGAAGTAGGAATATGGGTAAAGAACGGCAATTAGGTAAAAGTTATGTTTTAATGCTAAGAATTATTTTGAAGCGAATTGGATAATGCTGGATTTCAAATTCCCTGGAGCAGCTGTGGAAGATGTGAGAGAGCATCAGTGTGTAGGCACAGGTCTTGAAGTCCCATTTTGGCTCACTGACTGCCCTGCTACTGCCGCCAGGCATGGCATACAGTTCTCTGTAAAATGGAAACACGAGTGCTGATAAGCTTCACAATTAGTACAAAGGGACAGAATAATTGGAATTTAATAGTGCCTGCAGTGTAGGGGCATTTTTAAGTATACTCAGAGCCAAGCGTGCTATGTACTGAGGAGCAGATAGGCCAGGAGAGCACATAGTTGGTGCTACATAGCTGGAAGGAATGATTTGATTGCTGTATTACTGCTCACCCTGAGAACGTTGCTAATTTGCTGTTTACACAGCAGGAGGTAATACGCGTGGTACAAAAGCAGTTAAAGTGGCAGGAATCTTCTCCTTAGTCATCTGTGCTCTGCTCCAGATGCCTTTTTCTCAGTCAGCACCTCAATTTTCACAACATAGCGGTTAGTTTTAACACAATAACTGTTTAACTCAGATCACTGCGTTTCTCACTCAGTCTTTGCTTCTTGCTGCTGGATACTGAGGATGCAGCCCTTCTGAAACGCCAGCTCTGAGAAGCAGCAAACATACGCTGTGGGTGAAGGCAATGGGAGTGCTAATGAGGCTTTTGTCAGATGACTTTCTCTGCTCATTGTGCAGCTCCTTTTTGCTAGCTTTCTATTATTTAGCCTACAAGCCTCAGAAAACAGATTGTCTCACTCTGAATTTTCACAGTGCCTTGCTGAGCACAGGAGCCTTAAATGAGAGTGTTTGCTTTCCTGATCGCTCAAATATAGCTGGATTTGCTTTCTGTGCAGCTTTGCTTTTCCTTCCTTGTCTCTAGCAGTAGCACAAGCTTAAGCAGAGAGAGCTTTCTCCCAGAGGGCAGGGAATCCTAAAGGGAAAAATCCCCTGAGCAGGCACCAATAGCAGTCCCGTGGGACCACTCTTTGTCTTATTTGCATGCTTTGTAGTGAAAAACCTACGGATAGCATGTTCGGGAACTCAGTATTTTCATCCCTGGTGAAGAAAATCACTTAATGAACCCAGTGGGAAGATAAGGACACTGTGCCATTCTCATATGGCATGTTGTGCCCAGCTTCAAAGGAAGTGACAGCTCTGGGAGGCAGCAAGGATAAACATCCCCTCCACACTCAGCTCAGGCAATGGCGTTGTTTCTGTGCCCAGTACCTGCTTTCAGGACACTGGCTGATGAGTAGGTGGAGGAATATGAGCATTAACTCTGCCTTTGTTCTTCTCTAGCGTGGCTCATCCTTTCCTTTGTCCCAGTTGAAGGGCACCCGCAGCAAAGGTTCTGCTGCCTATCACTGCCATGTGGTATGTGGCTTCCTCCTGGTGATGCGGCTGCCGACAGTCTGACTCATTGATCCTCCTTCATTGCTCTACCACAATTATCTCTTTCGTGAATGAGTCCTTAAATATCCTTTAAAAAGAACAGTATGGTTTTGTCATTGTTTGACTAGTCACAGGATGGGAAAATGAGGTATCACAAAAAACGTTTATTTCCAGTCACTTTTGCCATAAGAAACTGCCTCCATGAGCATAGCTCTGAATAATAACCCTTATAGAAAAAAAAAGACATCTGTTCAGGCCTTCCATGAAGTGACAGTAATATCAGCTTAATGGAGAAAGCTTCCAACAGGAGACTATTCAGCTTTCCTTGAAGAAATTAATGTTATGCAGTTTTAATGGAGGTCTAAAACAGAGGTGAGAATTAAACAGAGCATAAAACCTAGGTATTCCTTGGAACTTTACTTGAGTTGAAATTAAATTCTTTGGGATGATTGCATAAAAGTAAACTCTATTTTTCTAGCTGGCTTCAACGATCTATATCAACTGCACTATATTGCAGACGGAGAGCTTTTGAAGTATGACTTGGGCTGATGAGTAAAGGTATTGTCCATCAGCTCTGTGAGGTGAATACCTTCAGCTGGATAGAGCGATCACTACGAAGACCAGATCAGCTGGGGCCAAGTGGTTTTAGGATTTGTTTCCTATCAACCCTATCCCATTATAAATTAACTTTGGATTGAGTTTATGCTCTTGGTTGTGATCTCTTAATAGTCTGCAGGTTGGAATTGGCAGAGTGTACTTAAGCCCTACCCCTAACACATGCCTTGTAAATCACAGACCACGTCTGGAGGGAAGGGAGGCAGGTACAAAGCATCTGGCTGCTCCAGTTTTATCTTTGCTAAAACAAGCGTTAGATTGTTTTTTCTTCTTCGCTCGGTAGCAATGCTCACTAATTTGGTTCCCCTCTTCGCTGCGGCATCGTGCCAGAACTTCAGTTTGTTGTATTAGCTTCAATATACTGGTGAGTACCTTAATTTTTTAAGGTGTTTTGATGACCATTAAGCACTCTGTGCATGTGAATTTCAGTAGACTCTGGAATGTTCTGTGAAACCCGGCTTTGTGCCTCTTTGGGTTGATTCTGGTATAATCTTCTCCGTGTAAACTTTCTATAGGCTACCTGATGTACTACTGTATACTAGGCAATTGAAGGAACTCATTGTTTCAGCTATATGTGTGTATGTAGATGCTTTGTTGTTTCTTCCAAGATATGTGATAAAAGCCATCAGTGTTTTGGGTTTTTTTGGTGGGTGTTTTTTTTTATTTTTTTGGTGTTGTGTTTTTTGGTTTTTGGGTTTGTTTTTTTTTTTTTTGTAAGTTTAGTGAATAATTCTGGAGTTGGTTCCCATGGAAGAAAAGGGAAGTTAGTTTACTTGGCCCTGAACAAAAGATCCAACTCCTGTACAGGTGGTTTACGTGGTATTATCACTGTAACCAGCCATGTCCCTGGGCTCTCAATTTCTAAAATGAAGGCTTATGTTCCTTTAAGTAGTTGCCATGGAAATCCTCAGCATGAACCTCATCAGTGAAGGCCTTGTGGCAGATAACTTATGTCTATTATTTCTCTAAACACATCAGGCACTACAGTGAAAGGGGTTTTGTGAGCCTTTACAACACATGCACAAGAGCTGCTACTGGTTCTAGCATGTGTTTCCTAACCTTGATTCTTCAAATCAGGTAAATGAATGTGTTTGAGAAAGCAATACGATGAATTACAGAAATACGTTTTTAGTTTCCAATCCCCTAAAGTATTTTCAGATGAACCTGTTCGGTTTTTAAAGGCTTCTTTATGCTGAGCTTTCAGGCATACAAATATGGGAGAATTACAGGCAATTGAATGTGTTCTGCAGAGCAGATGTACTCTTGGCAAGGGCAGGATCAAATGTGAAAAGTGGAAAATAGGAATAGTCTTTCAGTTGGTAACTCTTCTTTGCTTAGATGATCAACAGGCTTATTTTAGATAATGCTTTAGATTACACTTGATTTTGAGTTGAATTCCAAAATAATGAGAAAGAAGTTGGTTAACTGACTTTTGAGATGTTCTCATTGCTCTCCAGTGTTGTCTCCTCCATGTATCTCGATGTGAACGTTGGTATCTGGAAGCTGTTCCTTTTCAATAGAATGGAGCTCATCATTTCTCAGTTCTTTCTATCCCTCTAAAGACTAACTCAGCTGTAATAAGGGTGCTAGAGCACAAAACACTTTATCCGTACATCTTGAATATGACACACTATTAGACTGAAGTTACAAACTGCAGATTAGATGTGTCATATTAGAGTGTGTCATTTGGTAAGCAACCTTCATGTGCTGATGCAGTTTTACCATTGTGTCAGGCTTTAGCTATAATGCCTCTGTAGACAGAGAGCCAGGCTGCCCTCTGTTGCAGTGCTGTGAGCCCAGGGTAATTCCATTAGCTACGCACTTACACAAATACAGGCGAATGAGGAAATTGATAAAATGGGTTCAGTGCAGAATGTTACAAAATAAATATGGAAAATAGCAGTTTAATGACAAAACACACCGCCTGTATAAAATAAGCCATAACATGGGGTTTCATAATATTTTCTGCTGTTTCTATGCATCTTGTTTTTAACCGAGATGAATATTGGTTCCTTTCACAAAGAGGATTTTATTAGTGCTGCAGGGTAAGGAACTTGCAGATGACTGTTCATGCGATCACACGAACTATTTATCTCTGTACAGCTCCCACTGCACTGATTTGGATGCCCTGGAAATAGCAGCTGTGCCTAACTTGGTGCCAATTGCAGCAAAGGCCAGTCTCAAATACAGGTGGAGAAGGCACTGGTGGTGGCTTAAAGCACTCAGATGAGCAAGGACAGGACAGGAAAGAAGTTTGCTCTGCCACCTAGCAGCTCCCCCCATGGTAGATAAAAGGAGTACTTCATTCTCCTGAGCTTTCAGTGTGTTTCTCTCCATTCACTATGTTCCCTTTTAAAACTAAGTCTGTGTAGCTTCCCCTGCCAGACACTCTGGCACGGTTCCTCAGGCACTTAAATACCGTTGTGGATTTGCGCTTCCGAGCCTACATCTGATTTCCCGCTGAGGGGGAGGAAGCTTTGCAAGTAGAGTTAATTTTGCTATAGAGGAAATTAACGCCACGAAACCTTTCTGTTCGATTATAGCTGATAATAAAGTAACCACCCTTGGCCATCCACGGGGAGCGTCTGTGAGCTGCATGGCCGCGCTGCCTGGGATGCTGCGGAAGGGCTGGGTTCGGTGGAGCATTTAGTGCAGTGGGCTTCCAGCGAAGCCCAGGATAACGCTTCCCTCTTATCTGATCTGCTTTTGCTGCCCTCCAGCAGTGTGCATGGAGTGAATCCAACCCGCGGAGGGCACAGATGTAGCTGCTTCATAAAAGCTTCTGCAACATCCTGTGTCTGACATAAATACAAATGACCTTTTGTTTCCGTCTCTCTTCCTGCCAATAACAGGCTAGTCATGTTAACAAAACGCCAAGCACACACGGTATGCTTGGCACAAACTTCACCAGCATGGGCAAGATACAGCTAATTACTGCATAAAAATACCCACAAGTTATCTATATATATAGGTGTGTTTGTGTGTAGCTACATGTTTGTGTGTATATACACAATATAAATAAACGCTAAGCAGCTGTGCATAGGAGTGTTTTGGGGGATGCAGAACACAGCAAAGCAACATAAGCTTTATTGTAGCCTAGCAGCCTGGTTCTGTTAACATGGTGGCATGAATCAAGGCAGCTGCATCTAAAATGGCAAAGATGTAAGTAGTGGCAAATTGCTTTAAGTGACAAATCGGGTGTGAATTTTCTAGCTTATATCCAAAAGATGGAAGAAATAGCTTTAGATAGCTGAACTTTGTTGTCCGAATTGGAAACAGAAGCCAGAGTCGGTTGATTTTAATTTTAAACATTAAATCTGATGGGATAAGGCAACCTGATTCCTGATTCCAGTGCTGGCTAAAAGTTCCTTGTCTTGGTTTAAGAGTAATCTAGTAGGTTTTGGTCATTCTGCAAAGCTTTTACTCAGTTCCATTCAGTGCTTACCATTCCCAGCAAGATACTGCCTGGTACGGGGGCTTGCCCATTGATTGTTTAGTTGCCTCTCAGTAGGAAAGCATACAGGGTTTGAACCATGGGGGTCGTTAGTTATCAGTATCAGGAAGCAATCAGTAACTGTTAACGTTTCTCTCAGCTTGTCATAAACAAAGCTTTGGCAATCTGCTGATGCTATCTCCCCAGGGCACAAATGCGTCCTTCGCCTTCCTTTTGTCACATGGTCAAGGTGCTATAGACAGCTCAAATCACAGATGTGTTCAGGCAAATGACTGCCACTGGAACAATGGCTTTGGGGGATAATGTGCTTTCTGTCAGCACTTCTGAGGCTCTGGCTGTGATCTGCAGGAAGAGAATGAGCTTTGCTTCCTTCTTGGAAAAATAAAGTACGGGCCCTGTGGCTCAAGGTAAGCGGCTTCCCGAGGGCAAAGTGTGCAGAGTGTTGTATAAATGACCTCTTCTCAGAGGAAGAGCAAGCTAGGTAAGGTGCGATGGCTGTATTTCAGGATCAAACCCCGGCGGTATTTGGAAATCATGCGGTGAAGCCTTCCAGACTCGGTTCTACATTGTCATGTGTTTAGCTGCTTTTCTCAATTGCATCATCAAATTCATTTTCCAACCACAGAGCATACAGTTTTGAGATTATGGGAAGCACAATAGAGAAGAGTTTTAAGTCTGCTGTGAGTGAAGTACAGGCTTCATCACCTACATGCCTTAGCATTGCCTTCTAAGCAAGCTAGTTCCCTTCAAGGGGAAAAACATTAAGACATCTTTAAATGTGTTTGCTCTAGTTTTTCTCTGATGCAGTAAAGAGGTACCCAAATTCCTCGCTGAGCTGCAAATGTGCTTATGCTTAGAGTACTTTGTCATAGCCAAGGTATCTTTCTCAGTGGCTTCTAAGGTTACGTGGCATAGTGTAATAGTTTTTCTCCAGCTTCAGTGTATTTTATCTCCCAAACCAGGGGCATAGTTTCTCATTTCGCTGTTCAGTGGCCATGTGCACGCACCTCTTCATCAACCCTTAAGAATACAAAGCAGTGTTAAAATCTTCTGGCATGTGGTTCTGATGCAACAGACAATGAATTACCAGGCCAAAGATCTTGGAGAGGTACTTAACCTAGAGCAACAGCATAAAAGCTTTCTGTACCAGACTAGGTGCTAGGATCTGAAGGTCAGGCACTTTGAGTGGCAGGGCAGATTTTAACTTCGATCTCTTCAGTATTACTTCAAAATCAACAGTTTTTCTTTGGGTCTAACCAGCTATTATTCTGCTTACTTTGATGTTGAGGAGTAGCTCTACAGGTACGTGTGTATTCAGTCAGGAATGGTCCAGGAGGTGATGACCTTCGTTAGCGTGAAGTGTCCATTCAAGTGCACTCTGGATTATTAACTCAAAAGACAACCCAAAGCCCTGAACTCTCTGCATTACGAGCACGAGCTGGTTTTGTAGCAGTTTGTTAAATAACTCCATCAGTTTTTCTTCTTTTTACTCATATGCAGTGATGGTGGGAGGGTTGCTTTCTGGGCATCTGTTCTACAAAATAAGCGTGGCTGGAGGGCTGAAAACGGAGTACAATGGATATTTTGAACAACAGAATTAAAGCATTTATTATCTTCATGCCACGAGATACAACTGGTTTACAGGTGTCAAGGCTGTGTGGGTCTGAGGAAAGCATTGACTACAGCACACCTTATTCTACCGGTTTACTGATCCACCTAATCTAGGTTTTGTTACTTCAAAGGAGCAAGCAAGATCTAAAAATAAAGCAAACATGGAGGAAGAAGAGTTCCTCTCTTGACTTTTGCAAGCTGTCAATTTATGCACTGCAAGATGAAATGTAGTTGGCATTAGATCATTGTCTTCTCTTAACTGTTCTGTGGGGGGTTCTTTTTCCTTTGGTTGTTGGACAATCTTGACCTCTGCTGTTGATCTCTGGTATGTTCACTGCATGATCTGTGAGAGTCATTGTTTTTTCCTTGTAGTGTTCTCAGACCCACAAACAGACATGTTTTGCATGAAGTTGGTTTCTCTGGGCCTTGTTTCAGTATTACAGAAGCAGCTGGTGAAGGCTTAGGCTCTATTTACTGTAGCAGGATTATTCCTTTCTTCAGTCTTATGATTCCTCCAAGCAGCACTAGTTGTTTTGAAGCAGTGCTGATGTATAATGTAACGATGCCAATCAACATAGTTTTGTTATGGTCTCGTATTTTGGCACTTAATAAGGAGAAACATAGTGAGTGAGATGCTATCAATTCATTTCCGTAATACATGCAAGTCAGCATAGCTCAAAATAAGAGCCTAAGTGCCCTGTCAGGTCAGACCTGGCAGCCCAGTGGCAATAGGAGGCACTAATTACTTTAAACAGTTTTGATCTATATTGCTAACTTACATGAACTGAAAGAATGACTGTAAGATGTAAGGTACTTGCTCAATTTGTAGTACCATAATAATGCTTATGTCGCTCATTATACGGTTTAAATGCTATAATAATGGGAAACAAAATGTATCAATAGATAAAGAGGTACGATTTATAACTCTCTTTACAAAATTTACCATTTCTCTCGTTGGGATTAAACACATTAAAGGCACTGAACAGCCACAGCCTACCCTGATACTTTACTCAACCGGCAGGATTGGGCCCCATCACCTTTTCCCATTTGAAGTGAAGGGGGAAGCTCCTGATGACTTCCAGGTTAGGTGAGATTTAGGCTTGGAATACCTCTGTAGGTAGACTCAAACTCTTCTTTTTGTGTCTTTCTGAGCTTTCCAAGTCAGCTCCAGTTTGTGCTTCTGGATAATCCTGCATGTGTTTGAAGGTAATAAGTGATTTCTGAAATATGGTGTACGTATGGCTTCTGGTATGTGTAGGTTTTATGGCAATGCTGCTTAGAATATATTATATTTGTATAAAGGCTTTACTTTTGAGTCTTGGCAAATCAGCGCGCAACAGATGGACTGTCTGTGCAATACTGTACTAATGAGGTTAGCATAATCTGCCAAAATGTAGTACGTTTATCAAGTACAAAGTGACACAATATCTCTATAATTCTGATAGAAAATGAGTGCCCAAATCAGGGTATAGGTGCACTTTGTATAGGAGGAGCTGTAAAGAAGATGCCTCGTATATGCATAGGATATGGTTTTGTGATGGTGTGTTGTCAATAACAAGCACGTTGTTAACAGGACTGCATTAGGGGATGTTGCAGACAGCACAGCATACCTAACTAAGCTTTTGCCACTAACCTAAGTCTGAAACTCGTCTTTATGAGAAAGATTCACTGACTGATCAGGAGCCCCCTGGAACTATTTGAAGGCTTGGATAAAGAGAGGTTGTAGGCTTCCGAATCACAGTGGTTAAGCACCTTGGAAGAAGTATAAAAAGCATGTTCTCTCTGCTCCCATTTGTGCTCTGGTCTGGTCCTTGCTCCGATTTGAGGCACCTAGCATAGGAAGTGGGTAGAATTCATGTGTTCAAGCACAGGTTGTCATAAAAGGACCTCATCGTTCCTGGGAGGTATCTAATCCAGAGGTACCTTCATTATTCTTTCTGCTTCTGGGTGGGTGCAAGCTGTTGATTATTCTTGACCTTGTTCTACATGTTCCTGTGGTTTATGCACTTGCGATTTGATGTGAAATACAGAAACATTTCTGTGGCTACCCTCTAACGGGTGGACTCAAAATGTAACATCCTGGTACCCTGAATTCCTCAACGATGGCTGTTTGCTCAAGGAGAAAGCAGTTCTGCACACATGCCAAACCCCAGGATAACCAGATAAACGAGTCCCTTTTTCAAAAGGAAGGTTGTAGCTCCCTTTCATGTGTGACACCCCCAGTAGCCTTAAGGACTAGGCTCACTTTCTCAAATCAGGTTCCCTGTTGTTAGGAGGATGTAGCAAAGTTCTGCTGTATGCTTCACTAGGAAAGGCACTGAGCTTACCTATAAGCTAGAGATTAAAGCCAAGCCACCCGAGTCTTTCCCCTCAGAAGAATGAAAACTTGAACATAACATCCCAATTTAAGAAGCTTTGCAGGTGATAGATGTATTTTCTGAACTTCATTAGCATTACAGAAAAAAGAATAAATCAAGAAATGGGATCTTTTTGCTTTTTCTGACATGTCACTGGTAATACCTGCAGACATTGGAGCAACCTGTTTGCTGGTGTTAATGCGAAGGACAAATTAAAACAAACACACAACCCAAAACCAACCAACCAGAACCCCCAAACCCTAAACCAAACCAGCCCCCCTCTGGAGGGCTCCTGGAATAAAAGCAGGAAAAGAAAATCCGACCCTTGTTCTTTCTGCAAGAGAAATCATTGTTCAAAAAGAAGCAGCAATTAGAAACCGATTACGATGTTTTTTTCTGCTCCCTTGTTCCCAAACACACTTCTTGGGCTACTTTTGACTTGAGATTTCTGCTGCACAGGGATGCTCGTGACCCAGGTGCTCCTGTGTTAGTTGTATTGCAGTGCTGTGCTCTTCATAATGCAGAGGCAGCAGCCAGCGTGGGGTGTGTGGCATGTCACTGTGATTGATATTGCATTGCTGGAGTTGGTAAACTGATGTTACCTGAAGTCAGTGTAGCAGTGATCCAAGCAATGCTTGATGTTGCTGCAGGTACTGCTTCCCCCTTTACTAATGCACCTTTCTCTCATTCACAAAGTGCTGAGATCTTCTAGCAGTATTTTGGTTTTTATAGGGCCTTTCAGCCAAATTTCTCAGCAAATCTGCAAGCTACAGCCCACTAAAGCTCCCCCACTGTGGGCTGGGTACCTAATGTTATACCCAATTTATTAGAAATGACAAGACTGAGACAAAGAAGTGAAGACTGTTACTTAAGCAAGCATAAAAGTATGTGTCCTGTCCCCTTGTCTACATCTTATGGCAGACACTTGCATTTGAAAAGCCTTTCACTTATTCTAGATAGTATCATACACATTATGATATAAGTAATCGTGATACTTGGATCTGTTTTCATTTCCTGTCAGATCAGAATTATTGTTCTGTTTGGTTTCTTAAACAAAATTATCGATTGCAGATTTTGCTGAAACTTTAACTACTTGGGGGGGTGGGGGGGGGGAAGTTTTAGCTGGACACAGCACTTGACTCCAATAATGCAGTGTAATCATTGGCTTCGACTAATCACATTTCCAGGTATTCTGCCTAACAGATCATTAAGGTAAGACAAGTAGGTTAAAACCTAGTTATCATCCAAGTCAGCTGACACAGGAGCTAGGAATAAGGCTGCTTGCGCTTTGGATCCTGAGCAATGCAGAGAGCAACACATTCTTCTGTTCTTTTCCAGTAGTACCTAGGAAAATAGAGAGATGATCCAGTGTGTATGGGGGGAACCACACACTCAAACCAATAACTAGAACATTGATGCTGCTGAAAAGTAAGGGAAAATGGACAAGTTCTGTTCTGAATATACTTGTTCTCTTTGCGTCCTGGCCTGTTTTAAGGCCAGGTTAAGGGAATTATTCTGCACCATCACCAACCTAAGCCAAACATCATGATGTGGCGAGGAAGAATGTATATCTAGTTATAGATGAGCCAAGCAGGAAGGTATCCATTCTGATCTTGGTGACAGGAGGATCTGAACAGAATCACCTCAGTGCAGGTATTATTTTAACAAAATCAGTATCTACAGATTCAGTAGTATTTGCCTTGTGGTCATCTCTCTTATATTAGCTATTTCCAATGGCCAGAGATCAGTCACGGTGCAAGTGATGCGTGCAAAAGGTGCCTGCTGCAAAGACCTGATGAACGCCTTAATGGTGGCAGATCTCTGCATGTGCAGCATGCCATGGCTTGGAAAAGACATGTTCATCTGTTGGACTGGAGGGCTGGGCATTGATTTAAGTGATTTCACAGAAGTGATGGAAGTAATGGTGAAGGGAGGAGGTGACCGCATGTTGGAATCGGAGGTCAGTTTCAGCTCTTTCAGCAAATGTTTGCAGTGCTGTACAAAAGGTGCAGACTACTACCTATGAGATTTTTCCTGTAGGAAAGAAGGCCATTTTTGTCATCTGCCTATAATCTCCTGCATTGCATTACCAGTGAGTATACATCATCCTCATGGTGGGCACTTTATCAGCTCATGCCACTCATCACGAGAGTTGGCAAGTACTATCCCTTTCCATTTCCCCTGGGAACTAATGGTTTTGTTCCTTTTCATATACCCTCTGTGTCATGATTATGAAACAGCCATATGCATCCTGCTCCAGGAAGAGAGCTGGGTTCTTAGTCTGAACCCCAAATCCTGCTGCACTGAGGTTGATTAAGCCTGGCCTGAAGCTTCGAGGACCTGCTGTGATTGCCAGTGGGGTGAACTTGTGCAGTCTACCTTTATGAATGGCCTTTTGCATGCTGCTTTTTCTTGGCAGTGCATCTCTTTTTTTATTTTCCCCAGTTTTAATCCTAAGAGGTGAACTAGAATGAACATCCAGCTTTGTTTCCTCCTGAAGACACCTCTGCCCTGAGGAATAATGGAGGCTATTGCAAACCCACAGCCTTCACAGGTACTGTGCTTCTGCACCAGCTCATGTGCAGCCTGGTGTGGACCGAATACATGTTTTATTGGAAGATGAGAAATCGTGCATTGAACCACTTCATCTCTACTCACATAGTCTGGGCACGGACAAGCAGGCTGTCACCAGCAGAGAGAGTTAGGGTTTTACCATCCATGGCAACAGTCGATGTGCCCTCCTGAAGGGAAAGAACACATAGTCAGCTCTTAATTTTCCTAGCAGAAAGAAGATGCTGCAGGAAAGTAAATCTTTTCCACTGAAAGAGCAATTTAAATCTGCTCTGTTTCGTGAGGCCTAGCTAAATATTCAGCTGCTCCTCCCTGTCTGACACTATTCGCATCACTAAAAACATGGTTCATTGTTCCCCATCATAAAGCAGCAACCCACTGCCTGGCTCTTGGGGGTACAATGCTACCAATCTAACCTAGCAACCTGCAAGCTGGTACAGCTCTGGAAATAACAACCTCCTCCTATCTCTTCTACTTTTCTGATATCCTCCTATCTCTTCTACTTTTCTGATTCCTAATGTCTTGAGAAGCAGCTCACAAATCAGCAGGGAGCTGACAGAAATCACTCATAGGAGCCCATCCACACTGCAATGGATTCATCATTGTCTTGTCAAGGCTCTTGCCAGCAACAAGGTCTTGATGGCACAGATGCTGTCTGCTGTGGTGTAAACAAATGGCTTTCAATATCTTTATGTCTTTAAGCAGTATTTGATGGTCCGTGTGAACTTCAACAGAGCAGGAACTAATAGAAATATCCTCCTCCCAGTCTAGGCTGGCTCTGGATGAGAACGAGCTCTTCTCTGTCTTCCCCTTGGGCTGCAAATCTTTCTTAGGAGCCAGCTGAACGAAAGGCATCTGGTTCACCTCCCACTGTGCTTCAGTATAAACAAGTTCTCAGACTTTTTAATTGGCGTGTTCTACCTGCTTTCACTTCGACTTCTATGATTCTATGAGCACAAATGCTATAGCGTAGAAGTAATAGGTGATGCTTTATTATCGCTTGGAGGCATTCTGATATATTTACAGGGTATACCCAGTGCAGGGTGTATTAAAACCCCCACCAAGACCTGATGGAGGATGCCAGTATCTCTGTCTGCAATGTAGAAGATGAGGAAATGGACTGTTTTTATGGTGGCAATAGTTCACAGTTATTTTTCATGATAGTTTAAAGCTGAAGGGTGGTGCCTGCTGATGATCTTTCCTAAGAGAAGGTAATCGTCTTAATTTCTGTTGCTGGTGCTAGAAGTCTTTACTACTGTTCAGTCTGAACTGAAATGTGAACTTGTTCAGTAACAAATGTGAGTTGCCACATACCAGCTGCCATATCCAGATATCAGAATTCTTCTTGCTTTTCTCAGTTGTTCCCGGTCCATAAGCTATAACCTTGAAAGGAAATAGGGAATAAAAGGAATGGATTCCTCCCAGTGACCGAAGTGTACATATTCATCTTCCAACAGGATTTTAAACATTCTATTTTTACAGAAAAATATTCATAGACGATGACATTATTTTTACAGACATTAAAATTCACATTACGTTTGGTACTCTCATATTGATTCCTACTGATAAAAAGGGAACTGATCACACCTGCCACTCCTTATGCTCCTCTGCATCCTCACTTATCTATTCCTTCTGCCTCCTCCCACTCTCAGCTTTGCATCTCTATCCTTCCTGCTTCTGTTCTTGGAACAGGCACTTCCTCCTCATGAACTCTAGACCCTGTCAGGAGCCTGTCGAAGTAGAAAAGAGTCTTCTCTAAGCATTAACAGAGCTGCAGACCGGACCTTATTTTTCTCATTATCTGCCCTTTCTGTGTTCTTCCTGACAGTCCCACGCTGTCCCTAGGCTGTCAAACGTATTGCATTCCTCAGAGTGCGAGTCCAAATAACCCAGGGAAGGAATATGTTTTGCAAACTACTGCGCGTACAGCACAGATATCGAATGATGACAGCTTAGTTTACTACCAGGCTAGGCTGTGTTTGGCTAAAGCAAAGTGACACTGAGAAGCACAATGCTCATCGCAGCCCAGGCTCTCTGGTGCTGCCCGGTTTTCCCTATTTCCACTTCATGTGGATTGAGGGGGAGGAAAAGAAAAGTGTAATGACACCCCCAGCTTCGACTTGGTTAAGTTATGCTCTTCGAACCCGCAGGGAAGCAGAGCACACTCCAGTAGTATTTGCATCATGCCGGTATTTCTGATTTGGTAGCTATGGAGGGGCTGGGGGTGGAATGAGCAAGCTGTTTCGATCCCAAGGGACATGAATGGAATTAAGGTTCAGGTTAATTCTGTGGATGGAACTATCTGAGCTAGGAAGCCTCTGCCCTAAGCTACTCAAAGCAGTGGATGAAGACGGGCGCTTCCAAAGGGCAGGGCAGGTTAAGAGTGAGTGGTTCTGTAGGGGTGCGTGACTTTCTCTACCGACTGCGTGCTGTTCCTAGGCTTGGATTCCCTCAGTCTGGACAGCAGGCACCTACTATTTATCTTTAAAAATACCCCTCTCCTTCAGAGAAATTAGACCCTCCTACCTCTGTTTCGAAGTTATCTCCAAACAGACCCAAGGATTTCTTCTGCTGGATTTCACCACGATGGTCATTTAACCAGCCTTGGAAGGAAAACGGCTCCATAACAGAGGTCAAATTTAGAGGGAAAGGTGTTTCTTTCAGGATTTCATCTGTAAGGAAGGTGGAGGGTGGCCACTGACGCTTGCTTCCCTTGGTCTTTGCAAACGTTTTACTGTTACTTACGGCTTGAAGGGTTCAATTTACAGATACTATCTAATCAAAAGTCAGTTGTAGCAGTAAAGAGTGCTATGGTCAGGACCTAAGGTTGTAAGATGCATGTATTGCGTGTGTATCTTCATGGAGTTGCTTCTTCCAAGATGTTGTCAGAAGGAAAATGAAAATCTTTACGTTAGGTTTATTCTAATCTGGGTTCTGAAATATTAACAGGATCTAGTCTGAACATTCTGTACTTCATAATTTGATAATACTACAAAGCAGTTTTAAGGGCACTGATGATTTATGTTCACATTTGCAATACGTCTGTCAGGTTTTGGTTTTTTCTTAATTTTTAAAGGTTTATCGCATTTGCTTTGGAGGTAATTAGGAATCTTGCACACTTAGTCCTTAAGTTATGGATATGCTCAACTACAGCCTTATTGCAACATAGTTCTTTGGCTAGGGTCAGATACAAATTAAAGGCCTAAAATATTATGGCATCTATTCACACACAGCAGAGGAGAAGAAAAAGTAAAGACATTTTATCAGGAGGTGCTCAGTGAATTAGTATCCCAATAGATTATATTTTTCATTAATAGTAGCAATCTTTACCTCCTGAAGTAATATAAAGACAATAGAGTTTTGGGGTTTTTTGGTATCAGAATAAAACAGGTTACTCCTGAATTGAGAAAAGCCACAGAAAATTACCCTTGGTAGGGCTTACTACTAAAATGCATGCCCTAGGTGAGATAGTTACCCTGCAGGGCAAGGGAGAAATACCAAAATGCCATGATCATCCTGCTCAGCTCCAGGGGATACATCTCCACAGGTCAAGAATTCCAGCATCGTGCTATTTAGATATTGTTGCATATATTTCTGCTTAGCCTGTACATCAGCTTTGAACAATATCTCAGGTTATGTACAGCTCATGTGTTTCCAGAGTTCTTATGTTTTAGTAATACTGTGAGACAACATGTTTAATGATGGTAAAGGTAAAAATATGCCAGCACAATGCAGGAAGACAGCAGTTCTAAGCTAGCTAGCCGAAAGTCTTGCGCATCTCCAAGTAATAGATCAGTGAGTGGAACATCAAATCTAGTGTTTTCTTACATGTTCAGGAGATCCAATTCAATAGCTCAATAGCAAAGTCCATTTTTTGAAGATCTTTACTGTTAAATATTCATATCACAGCAATCCATTCTTTATGGGGTTTACAGCTCTTTTCAGCTTCCAATTAGAATGTGATGATACCATGTTGAGCTCAAGAAGACGTGTTTGCTGAATGAATTTGTAAATAATTTACAAAAGGAAATGCCAGGTCTTAGGGGAATTTGATTTCGGTGAATAGAGACTGTACTGGGACTAAGAACACGAAGCAGTGCAAAACTGGAGTGAGCACCTCACAGGGAAACAGCCAGTGAACATACAGGTAGTTACTGCCTCACCGGAGGGCACCTAAGGAAGAGTTTGAACTGGCTGGGATACTTCTGATGGTAGTAAAGAGGACAGCCACTGGCCCACAAGGTATATGAGGGTGTATTTGCTTACCCCAAACTTGCACGTTACGTGGAAGCTCCCTCTTCCCTACCCCTGTGATGTGCCTAAGCTCTCTTGTCAAGAAATGAGACCATGTCATTCTCCCAGAGTGTTATTTCTTGAGACCTGCTATCCCCAAGCTCTTCCCATAGCTCTTTTAGAAGTCTTGTTTCTTCAAGATTTCTTCATCATCTTCAAGATGCAAAGGAAGAGAGCAATAAAGCATGTGAAATGCAATATATTGAAATAATGTCAACTCTCAAACTGATCACGTGTTGCCTTTATGACATGCTGTGTTTTACAGTGACATGCCATCTTTCACTTACAGGCAGCACATTCTAGGTGGAAGAATCTTTAAATCACCTTATTTGTTCTTACTAATTATGGAAGCCCTTCCATTCTAAGTCACTGTGCTGCCTCAGAAAAGGTCTGTCCTTGCATGCTGTGACCTCATCTCCATGCAAGGATGTGAGAAAGTCCCTTCCAAATGGTGCCTTCCTCTGCCAAAGCAGAAGACATCCTTATCCAAAGTGGGCAGTTAGATCCTCTTTGCTTTTTTATCCTTTTAACTGAGTGTAAAATGGTCCAGACTGGGGATAAAGAGCTCACAAGTTATTTTAGCATTACGTATTTAGCATTATGTATTCATTTACTTATTTCTGCTTTTTAATCGTCCCTTCTATCTCTTAAAGCATACTGTATCATAATGAGTAGTTCTGATGTGAGAGTTTTGCAGCTGTTCACATTTAATTGCCAATGCCAGCAGTAATATAGACCCTGAGCTGTTTCTCTCATATGTGCCTACCTGATTCCTATGAAAAGTCTGCTTTATTCTCCACATTAATGGAAATGTCAGTGAGACCCGTAGGACTTTAATACCTCTGCAAATAAAACCTGTGGACTGAGGGACGTAATTTCAGGTTTGAAAAAGCAAGTAGTTAGCTCATTCCATATAACAGTCTAGTGTGAAAGCGCTGATGGTGACTGATTACTTAGGGGATAGTTGGTTCATTTCACTGATGGTGAGTATAGATGCAGAAACATTTAGCTAAAAACGCAGCACTCACTTGCTGTAATCATACATTTCCCTGTGTAATTGTATTTGGTTTTGTAGCATGCCCTGAGAATTGGCGTGACTGGTAATTTATGACTTGTCCCTGGTAATTATTGCTAGGCACGTTTCTCTGTGTCATTAAATCTATGCTGGAAACAAAAGAGCAGTATTTCTTTTTCTAATTGAAACAAAAAAGTTTGAGGGAGGCTTTGAAAAATGCTTTTGCAATTTTTCAATACAGCCTCTTGAGGAGGAGATCTCACCAGCCAGAGGGAAGGGAATAAATTAGAACAACAACATTGCAAGGCATAGGCCATAAATCTGTTTCAAGGCTTTTCATATCCAGCTAGGTCACTGTAATCAAGAATGATAAATACTGACCATATTCCAATCCTAAAATCAGGAGTCTTCATTTTTGTTTCTGAATCTGCCTTTGATATAACTGTAGGCACTTCATTGATTGCCTCTGCATAACTTCTGCTTCCATAGGAGAGGAATAGGGTATTTCAGTATAACAGATGTTCAGACCTCACTGCGTTTGTGAGACAAGGATTTGTACAGCGTGTGTGAGCTATTCCTACTATACAGCCTTAAAAACACTAGTGAGAATGCCAGACTGACTCCATTAGTGAGTTTTCTGTTTCAGAAGTTGCTGTCTGGGGAGCATTTAAGAGCATAAGGAAGAAAAAAGCTACCTTATTAGAGGAGACAAACCTGTTGTGAAACTGCTCCGAGCTTCACAGCTCTTAAAAATATTAGGTTTTTTTTCCCACTAAAGCCTGAGCAGAAAGGAAAACAACTTTATAGGGCATGTATTCCAATTCCCCTGATAGGATTATTATATACATTATCTGCTAAAGGTCAGTAGTGACTTGGTTCCCATGGTGAAGCATAACGAGAGCTCCTGAAGATTACAGTTTATGTTCTGCGTTTCTTTGAGGAGGCTCAGCTGAGAATATTGTGGGAGAAGCAGACTTCTTCCTGGAGACTTTGGGGTTTGTTTTTGTTTGACTGGTGTGATTTGCTCTGGGAGCCTAATGAACTTCCTGAAACATCCATGGCTCCAGAGAACATGCAACCTGCACTCCTGGTTTTGGGATGATGTGTTGTAGTTTGGCATTAAAAAGTTTAGCAGGAGTCTTCATATGGCAAATTGTAGCAGCCATACTCCAGACGTTGTAATTCCACTTTATTTGTGCATTAAATGTTGGTGATAGGTTGGTTTGTCCAAGATCTTCATCTCCAGTACTGGCTATATACTCACTGGGGACCAGTGTGGTGTGGAAAGTTGTTCAATATGGAGGGAGGGGAAACAGATGAAGCCAGCGAGACACTGTATTGGAGATGCACATTAGATGATTCTGTTCCCTTCTACTTTTTGTAGTTCAGGTGGGCTTCAGGAGAGCTATGAAAATGACTTGGGAGTTACTTAAAGGTTGTAGGTAGGACAGGATGAAGATGAACAGTGTATTTATGTCAGCATCTTTGCCAGAATAGAGACCATGAGGATGATAAGAAAAAGGAGTATATTCAAGTTGTTGATCAGGTATCGGAACAGTGCTTCAGAGAACTGTACAAGTCTGGTGGGTCTAGACAGTTTAAAACCATTGTTGCTCTCTGTCAGTTTGAATACTGTCATGTCCTGGAGGCCTCCACTGGTTGTTTTTCCCTAGAGGAACACTCATTAATATCTAAATGCTTATATGCTGTTTCTTTTAATACAAGTATTCAAAGCAAAAACAAGTAATATAGAAAGAGCAATCTATCTAGATATGTTTGAAGTCCTTAAAAGGTGAGAAGTGAATCAAAGAGAATCAAACAGTTTTCTAAACATCTCCATAGCAAATAAAACTTCAGGTTTCTCTTATTTTCAGCTATTAACACTCTTCTCTTTTGATCTGCTTGTTTTTATAAACCAGTTTATAAACGAGACTACAGAGGTTGCACTGATTTAGCTACAGAGGATTAACAGCACAGAAGCTGATTATTATAGTGCTGAGCTCACCCTTATCACTTGTTTAATAGTGCTTCTGAAACCAGAAAACATTTGTTTACAGACCATGCCCTAGGCTATATGGTATTTCTACTCCAACTGACTGAAGAAATTACCCAGTTTTTCATACTCATTCAGACCCTTAGGTTTTGTCTGCTCTGAATCACAAGCATCAGACTGTGCTGTATTCTAGCAATACCAACCAGATTTTAAGTCCAGACTGTAAATTACCCTAGATACACCTGAAACTGACGAAAGCTTTGCTAGTGAAGTCACTACAGGACTGGGGTTTGGGGTTTTTTTGTATCGTAGATCTGTATGTTCACTGGCAACAAAGCTTTTATGCGAATTCAGATTTCATTTATCGTTAGATTGATTTGGAGAAACAAACTCCTGCCATTCTGCCTGCATCACTACTGTTCTTGAGGATAATTAACTCAGGAAAAGTCTTTTCTTGCACTTTTCCCCATCAAATTTCACATGAAAGAAGCCTGGATTAGTTCAGCGAGCATGGCAGGATACACTTTTGAACTTCTGGATACTTCTGTGAACAATATTGAGCCATCACTGTTATTAGAACAGGGGTTTGTCTGTCTGAACTTTGTCCTCTTGAATGTAAAACTGGGATGAAATAGAAATCCTGAGGGATCCTTGCTTCCAGTCTGATTCAGCTGAAAGTAACAAGAGTTGCTTTGGTAGCTCTGACTCTTCATAGAATCATAGAATAGTTAGGGTTGGAAAGGACCTTAAGAGCATCAAGTTCCAACCCCCCCCTTCGTGTCAAAAACTCTGTAAACCAAACCAACCTATATCCTAAGTATGTTCACCCTCACTTATAAAGGGAGGGTGAGCTTTCTCAGGCTTTGCTTTGACATGTGGTAACAAAAGAGGTGAGTAATTCAGTACAAAACAGTGCCAGGGAAGATGCCTTAAGTAAGGATTGCATGCAATACATGCTTCTGATTATATTTCATCTCGTGGTATTTAAGTCACTCTTCTAAAAAGATATGTTTTTAATGGCTATTGCTTTCTCTTCATATCTTCTGAGTACCCTGCTTTTTTGCTCTATTGTTGGCTGAGGCAGAAACCATAAATAAATCAAGAGAAGCTCAGGACTGGGGTGTTTGGTGGTTTTCTAAAAGCAGTTGGAGCTTGATTGATTTCCATTTATAACTTTGCTCTAGGAGTGAGCTGCAATCAAGGGTTCCTTTCAAAATGTTTTCCTTCAATTTTGTTCCATTTCTCTTAGAAAGGTGAGGCCCTTGTTCAGGCTTGTATAGCGACGAACCTGAAAGCGCTTCAGCTGGCGCTCTTAAACTGATGGGGTTCTGAGGTTTCAGAGGAGAACCTGAAAGAAAAGGCTGAAAGCCAGCCCCCCCCTGCACAGGCCAGCTCACATCTTGGTAAAATACATCTGAAGTGAAACATCATGAGAAACTGCTGGTGGCTTGTTGTGTGTTGAAAGATCATGCTGGTTGTTGTTGAATTCTAGTTCTTAAAGACGGCAAGAGCTGCTGAGGGAATAAATCCAGAGCATGACTTCTCTATCACTTGAACACACCTCCAGAAGGAACATACCACCAGCTTACTCCCATCTCGGTTTGTTGGTTTGGGGTTTTTTAAACACAAGTCTCACTGGCTGAAAGTTCTGTAACCCCAAAAACGTGGGGTATTTTCCTCATGTATAAAACATCATCGAGACTTTGAGCTTCTTATTGTCCACGAGAACTGAAAACTGGAAAACTGGAGCTGTTCCCCAGGCTAAAAGCCTGCCGTGTAGCTTTGCTTTGCTTACAGCAAGAGTGAAGCCAGGAGTGTTTCGAGTATTTCTTGTCTTGACTCAGTAGTTAATCCAAGAGGAGCATCCATTCGGGGTGGAAGATGTATTGATCTCTGAGCACAATAACTGTGTTTGTTTGTTTTTCTTTTCTTTCATTTTGTTGAAAAAAACCCTCTTTTTTTTTTTTTTCATTTTTAATAGAAGTCTCTCATGCCTTTTGGGATTTTTACAGCTTTTGCCCAAATTGCAATGAAAGAGCTTCTGTACTGGATTTATCAATAGCAGTTTCTCAGAGTTCTGTGTTTAAAAGCCAAGTGTCAAGAGACACCGTATCTTCTGATTGTCCGGTTATTTAGCTCTAATCTGAAAAAATATTAACGATATAAATCATTCATGCTTTTTTTTTTCCTGTACTGATGTAATTAATTTGTTACTGATACATAAGCTCTCCCCTGGGACTGCTGAGGGATGCTGATTGGAAATCACTGTATCGAACAAGGATGGTATGTGTGAGATGGTATTTTTTTTATTACAGCAGCATCTAGAGGCTTCATCTAAAACTGTATTTCCTCTGCTAGACTGTGTGAGCACACAGTGAGAGACAGTACCTGCCCTACCTATGCCCCTACCCCGCTACCATCAACACCCAACCATGCCACATGGGTGACATGCTCTACTTAAAATAAGATCAAATTAAAATACACACATTTTGGTGGTTCATATAAAGAAAATTCAGATCTTGGTGGTGACAAGACTTTGTCTGTAAGAAACGCAGAAGTACATTTCCTAGTCAGTAAAAGCCAATGCCAAAAGCTGCTTCAGCTGCAAAGTCTTTCAGGCAGGGTTTCTGAGTGGTTTAGCATTTGCTAATTGCGAGGACTTGTAATGTTGTTGTTCAGTCCACAGGACTCTTCTGTGACCTCTTCATTTGGGTGACAGTGACTTAGTTACCTCTTTTTAAGAAGGTTTATGTTCATACGCCAAAAAATCCTTTCCCCAGTTTTAGGATTTGAGTGAGAACTTTGTTTCATTAGTGACTGAGATGGCAGGCAGTGACGTTTTTATGGTGACTGTCAAGCTGAGAAATGGGATAGATGTGGGAATTACGTTCCACTAGAGAGAGTATTTCTCTAGGAGAGTATTTCATGAAAATCCTCTTACTTAAGATATTGGGAATGAATATGGAAACGAAGGACAACTGTTCCAAAACCTTTTTAGAGAGGGGAAGAGCGATTTAACCTGGGCAAGAGCTATGGAATTTAAGTTATGAGTGTGACTGAAGGACGACATGGCAGTTTGTTAGGTGGTTGTAAGAGTAGCGTAGCTGGGTATTGGAGCTATGTATGTGTGCACATACAGTGCACCTTAGCCATGAATTTCCTGGTTGGTGCAGAATGTGCTCCAGTCAGTCATTTCCATGCATGAAACAACAGACTGATTTGAAATGGCAAACTCGGTTGAGTACTGGGATTGACTCAACTGGTGGCCTTCACAAGAGCATTTGGTTGACTGGTGCAGGAACTCTCCAGGTGAGAATCAAGGGTTGTCCTGGAGATCCCAACGGCAGCACCTGCTCTGCTTAAGCTTTTGCATGTTTTGATGAAGAACATGGCCATGACATGTGCAGAACTGACCAGGCTGCACTGAACTAAAACACTTGCCAATAGTCCATAGAAACTCTTCCTGAAGGTGCAGGAGCGGTCACATAGTGTAGTCTTTCGTACACAGTTAAGACAGGTGGGTGGTATTTTGCAGTAGTTTATGTTAATAGCAATGGATCATGCACATGCTGGATGTTCATATAGACCTATGGGCCAAAAGGATTGTAAGATTTCAGCAAAACTAGTTTCCCACTGAAGGTGCAGTTGCAACTGTCCTTGCAATAGAGACTTTGGTTGCCATAGAAAGCAACAGTGTTGGAGAGATCCGATTCCTAAAGATAACTAAGAGATTTGTTTCTTTAACAGTCGCTCTTTCTGTGTCCTATGTCTCCTTCCCACACACTTGAGAGGAGTTATGCCTGGAGTATCTGCTCCAGTGTGGAAGTTACAATCACTATCCACAAACAGAAGCAAAATAAAAAGTAGAGCAAGACAGGATGGAGATAAAATGTTCAACGGATCAGACCCTACATGAATTAAAAGTATCTGTCTTTCTCTAGGTGTCCTCATTTCCCAAGGGTAGATCACAGTGTATAGTTACAAGGAGTAAAAGTAGGTATAGAATGAGTAGATTCAACTCGCAAAAACCTCATTCTGCACAGTCAGAAATGCAGGTTTTTTAGCATAAGACTTGAATGGCACGCAAGGATAGAGAGGTTTTGATTTTATACTGCACAGTTACCTGATAGGTCAGTATGATGGCATCACATGGGCAACCAATCATGTCCATGGATTTTACTCGTGGTTGGGGTAATGAAAGGAATTACTTCCCAAAGTGACTTTAATTTACAGAACAAGAACTCCAGAAATGTGGTCATTTTCTGTGGAGAGAATCACTGCTGTTCAATGAACAGTTTTCTAATTCTGAAATGAGTTTGCATTACCTGGATTTGGTTTTCCAGTTTGATATTGTCTTGAACTGAAAAACCTGGAATAGTAAACATTTAAACACCGGTAAAAAGTCATGCTCATGTTCTATAGATTAACAAAGACTAGGCAGTAATACTGGCCATTAAGCTTTGTGCTGAGAATGGATGTACCAGATCCTCAGCTACTATCACACGTTATTCAACAGGGCTCTAGCTTTTTTACTGACAGAGGGTTTGTCTTAAAGTCCTCCAAAATTCAAGACAATAAACAGTTTCCTTGCTCACCTTTAGGAAGCGTTTAACAAATCAATTGCTGATACTCACACATTTCCTAGAAAGCCTCTCTCTTTTGCCACAGTCCTGATTAATCATGATTAAAAGTCCTGGCATTAAAGCAAGAATGAAAGAAGCCCCAAGGCAATTTAGTGTTTTTACCTAGTTAACCTAGCATCAATCAGTGTTAATGTTTCATTCCTTCTAGTTGCACTGAGCAGAAGTGTGCTTTCCCTTGCTCAAAAACTGTGTTCCAGACAGAAGTGAGGAACACTTGATTTCATTTTATTTTAAAGCTGATTTCATTGAGCTTGGGCTATACAAGAGATGATTAAAAAGTTAAGTTTTAATAAGTCTATGTAAAATGCAGCGTAAATTGAACATGAACTGTGTAAGTCACAGACTGAGGAAGACCTTGTAGATCACTTTAACCATTCTTCTAAAATTCCCACAGGAAAAAAGCTTACTCTTGAATTATTGGTGCAAGTTGGGTGCCAAGGTCTTCACAGTGAAACCATTTTTCAAAGAGGACCTTAGTTGAATCTCCAACGTAGTATCTGACAAAGTAAAAAACCATTAGCCAATCTTATTATTAACTAACTGATCGGGCCCTTTCAGGCTTTTCAAGAAAACAGCTGCTTTACGTTGTGTAAGAGTGTGATATTCACAAGCCTGGTGTACTTTGTTCTGAAGAATGGTTATTTAAGGAGTCTGTTTCCCTGGTTAGCTGACCTGGTGGGTGGGATGCTCGCCTTAGCAAGCTTTCCAGATTTAATCCTGGAAAGGACCGCTGCCATCATCCCTTGGGACCTGTAACTCACTTTGGATGTAGTTACTGCAAAACTAACTGTCCCCAAATGCCTTTTCCAGTAAGCTAGTCCATGCACCCATGACATAAATACTCGTATTCAAGAGTCAGCTTGCTTATTGACCATTCATGGGCTGACAAGAAAACGAGGTGGCTTCTGGATTTGTTATTACAACCATAGGTGTTTGTCCCTTGTGTAAATTTGGGAAGTGTTGTTTAGCTCACCCATCTGAAGAGGAACTTAGTGCTTCACTTGCATTATTTTATGTCTTAAAAAGTAAACATTGTGCTGACAAGCCAGGCCAACGAGCCAAGGTTGCTCTAATCTATGGAATGGCAAATACATAATTTATCTACCGATTTAAAAAGATGGCATGGATTGGCAAGGGAGTGATGCTCCAGTACAGTCATATTTTGACTGAATGTATTTAGGTTCTATGTGTCCTTTGAGTTAGTCACTGGATTGGTGTTTGAAGAGGGAAAAGAGGCTTTATATAATGATACTGTGCATGTTTGTGTCTTCGTGACTGCCATGTGTAGCTATGTACATGTTGTCCAGAAACTTTCTAAGAGCTCTCTGGCTCCTCAAGTTTTGCAAAACTAGGGTACATGGACGAGAACAACGTTATTAGTGCCTCCAGTATGGAAAAAGCTGTGCTACAAGCACAAACTTTGAACACAGAGAGCCTACATAGAAGACAGAGGTTATAGATGCCTTGGCTGGGAGAAAGCTTTGCACCTGGGAAGGACTTTGCACCTTACTAGGATCACACAACCAACATCGGGCTTGATTGTTCCTCCATTTGTTCACCACAGGATTAAGATTAGCTAGTGGGTTTTGGTTTCTTCTTATGGCACAGAGCATGTAATCATTACTTAGGCTGAAACACTGGTGCAAGCTACTTATTCTTCACTCGTACAATAATCAGCATGCTGGGAGCTCTGATTTATGACTGCGACCTCTATGCATGATAAATAATGGAACAGTAACATAATATTAGACCTTGAGTCAGCATACTTCAAAGTTTCTTATGACTTCTTGTACAGTGCTGCAGATGGCTGGGAGGAAAGTGTTTTAAAAAGATTAGAGGTTCTGGTCATAAATCCCAAACAGTATCTCCCAGGAGCACACAGAGGGACAGTGCAGGTCCAAAAACTGTTCTCCTTTAAAACTTCAGGTGTCTTTGTTCATCATGTCAGTACGAAAACAAGCGCACTAAAACCAGTGATTGATTTCTTTTCAGGCACCCGATTATATATTTTCAATTAAGAGTGTGCTTTGTTAATACAGTTTTCTTCCACCTGCAAACCATAGCTTTTAGTTTAATTTCTCCACAAGAGCATGGCTAATTGGAGTGCAAATCTCTAGATGTACCTGGGATCCCTAAAAATCCATTTGTCATCTAACTCCTACCATTCACGGACTTTGTGTTTAGGTTATTTTACCTAAAGTTACCTAAAGCTACTTGTGTTCCTTTATTACAGATAAACACTGCTATCTGAATCACTGGGCAATTGTTTCCAGCTTGAAATTCCTTTTTAATCACGTAAGTGTTCACAATCCACAGACCTGCAATGAAAGGAAGAAAAGGGACAAGTGCACAGATTAACAGGGTTTTAAACTACCTGGATTTCTCTTTAGCTTGGAATCCAGTCAAGTGGGTTTTGGGTTTTGTTGTGTATTTTATTGGTGGTTTTTTTTTTTGTTTGAATGGTCCCTTTCTTAGTTTCTTCTTTCTTTCTGTAGCCTCTCCGGTTTGAATGAAGAAGTCTATCTTTCTAGCTCTGCATACGTGACACCACCCATGCAGCAGCCAGAACAATAGACAAAAGGGCAGACATTAGCTATTACTGCTGGTTTAAATCTATGTAGGTTATAGCTATAAACTCTATATAGGTAATAGCTGTAAAGTCTCTTTTGTCAGCTGTTATCCAGTTAGTATCAACACAGCTTTTCTAACTTAGTTAACGTTACTACTGTGACTTGCCTTCTTAGACTCATGAATTCTTGTACAGGAGAAGGCTTAGCCCTGCTCCCACTAGAATACAAAGTAAACCTCTCATTTCTCTGAAGATACTGTTCTCATAAGGCAATAAAAGCCAGGCAGAGGCTTTTATTGTACAATGTAGAGGGGGTTAGTGTTAAGAAAATTTACTTTTGTTTCCAGCTTTCCACATGCTTGCCAAGAAAGCTTCTTCATCATTTTGCTTTCAGTGCTTACAAAGGAATTAATGTTTTCCTTGCCAGAATTGATAAACTAATAACTTTTGATTTGTGTTACAGAGGTCTGAGAATTTAAAACTGAAGGCACTACAAGCAGGCTCTATGTAAGTAGATATAACATACATTTAAGACGTTTCAACGTGTCCGTTGTTTAACTACATGAAATGCTAAATGAGCTCTCTGTTTATGTGTGTATAGATAAGTAGATGTGTGGATACAATTAGTACAAAATTGCCAGTGTGAATGTGATAAATTATCAGGGAAATAAAATACAGTATTGTATTGACATGAGAAAATAATTTATATGACAATCCTAACAGATTACCGACAGTTTACACTTCACCTGAGCCCATCAATTTCTGTCTTCAGTCTTTCCCTCTCAATTACAAGACCCACGGTGTTTGCGTATCTCTGAGGAGAATGAGGTATCCTGGCAGGTAGGAGGAACATCTGTTCAGAGAGATGGGAAAGCATCAGTGTCAGGAAGCCTGATCTTTGTGTTATCCTTCCCCTGCCCCACAACCTGCGAAATCCTCTGCTCCTTTTTCTGCCCTGCTTTTCCTCTGCTCTGTTGATCCTGTGTTACCCCTTTGCAGCTGCACCCACCTTGGTACCAGCAGCCCCCCAGATACCGTTTCTTGCTTTCTCAGTTCAGGATGAGCATTGACTCTGCAATCGGCATTGCCTTTCTGGCAGCCAGGTCCTCACCTCCAGGTTTGATCACCATTCTCAGACGCAACTGAAAGGAAAATCTAACTGGTTGCTCATCTGGAATTTACAAATTTGCTCAATTTGTGTGGCAGAACTGGAAACGAAAGGCAAGTTTGTCAGCTCAAGAAAACACAGTGGACACCTGTGATTGCATGCTGAGGAGTGTTATTCTCTCCAGAAATAATCAACAAACAAGAGGGGCTACTTAGGCAAGCCACAAAGTAAACAGGCAACATCTGTCTGGGAGAAGTCTGTTGCTGAAGTCTGAGAGTAACACTTTTCCCAGCAGCTGACTGTACAGGAAGGTGGCAGCGTGGGTTGAGATAAGAGAAGTTTAATAATAGAAATAAAAGTAAAATGTAGTAAGAATAAAAGGAAATATACATATATGGGAAGTGAAAGGAAGGAATAAGCCCTGTCCCCTCCCTTAGCCAAGTTTGGCACGTCATTACAATTGCTGGCTGCAAAACTGAACTAATGATTGTGCTTTACCAGGGCTAGTGTCAGTCTTCCCACTAAAGGATACTGTATGCTCCTTTTTATTAATGCTTCTGGTACCTGCCAAGATGTCAGCTTGATGCACTTCTCCGGTGTGAAGTTTGACTGTTTATAGGTTTGAAAATGTAGATTTCCTTCACTGAAAATGTCATAATAATTTTAACGACCTCAAGTTGGCTGAGTCTAACATGTCTTCCGTTTTAAAGGCTGGCCCTGCTAGATCTAATAATCCTTTCAAAGACTGAGTGCAGTTCAAGCTTGTGACAATAATAATGAGTGGCAGTTGTAGCACATCTAATAACTTGTAGTATTGCCAAGCAAAATATCTAGTCGCACTCATTAAGAGCACTGCAATCTATGCTTTAGCAAGTCCACTAGTATAAAAAGAAACAGCTGAGTGCAGCTGGCTATATGTTATCCATAAACAGTTCTTTTCCGACCACTTTTGTATCGTGGTGGTTGCAGAGGCTGGTTGTGAGGACTAAAGAAGGTTGAAAATAGCCCAGCCTCTTCATTTCTAAGTTCTAGGCAGTTTGCTTAATGGCATGTTTGGGTGGGTGGGCAGTATGTACCTGACTGCGTAAATAAGACTGATCAAGTAGAATTCACTTGGCAGATTCCATGCCATGCAGGGGAATAACAACTCTCAGTGTACTGCTGACTATCTGCATGGGTATCCCAAATGCTCAGAAACATTTTGATGTGTTACTGAAATCAGGAAACGTTGAACACATTAATTGCGTTAATGACATGGCTTTTGTTTTACTGCATCCAAGATGGGGTTTTTATAATCCTGACCCATCTCTTGCACAGCAGGGATAAACTGATGTTTAAATCCTTTCTATAAACTATTCATTTAATGTACCTATGTACAACAGTAACAGAAAAGCAACCCCATCTTACCTCCCCTTCTCGGATGACGATGTCTTTTCGTTTCCCATTTTCAATTACCTTCAAACACATATCTCCTTTAACCTGGTAAAAAAGCTGAAGGAATAGGAAAATCACATTAAGGCAACCACCTCAAAACATTCTGCACTTCATATTCTGTATATAAAGGATATATGTATAAATACATTCAACCTTAATTGCAAATATTGGCAGATTGTTTTCTAACAATAACAGGACTCCAATCTTTGTTGCTTTTGAAAATGTTACTAAACATGGATTATTTCCATTATCTTATGTACATTTGACAATCTACATAACAGGTCTGCAGCTGCTTATAGAGCCATTCTGGGAACCCAGTGGAATTCCATTGTGCAGTCTTTACTTCTGGGATTAGTCTTTGAGGGAATGGGATGTTATGGTTCAGATCTCTGGTAATTGCACTGTGTATACAGATTCATTGTGGATATAGCAGAGTCTTCGCTATTGCATTCAGTGAAATTAAATGTCATTTTCCCAAGTAAACTCCAAATGCATGTGATTTTTGGGTGTGTGCTTTCACTTTTTTAAAGGAGCTTTCTCATTTGGGAATAATAGCTTATCTGGAAGCTGTTCTGCTTTGTTTCCACAGATACTCTTGAATCCCAGCAACAGCCACTTCTCTTCCGACTTTGTATGGAAAAGGATCATATTTGAAGCATGTCTTCCTTCTATCTGGCACCAAAGGATGCTCAGGCATTGGAACAGGCTGCCCAGGGCAGTGCTGGAGTCACTGCAGGTGTTCGCACACCATGGAGACGAGGCCTCAGTGCCATAGGTTAGTGGTGGCCTTGGCAGTGCTGGGCAATGGTTGGACTGGATGAGCCTAAAGGTCTTTTCCAACCTGGTCGATTCTGTGATCCTATAAGGACAGATCCAGTGAACCCATAATTCTGTCTTCAGTAAGTTTTCCGTAGCTCTGTTTTCAGAGTAGCTTTGCTGTGGCTTAGGAGGTGCTCACATCTAGCCTCACGTTTCATGGCAGGAACTGTGCTATGGTCTGTAAGCAGGTCTCTCTTTGACCTGGAATAACGGGCACATTTTTGCTTGTTTTATATAATACAGAGGAATAATATTTCAAAAAGCCAACTTTACTTTTCTGCCACTTTGCCAAACTTCTCTTTGCTCTCCATGTTCTCTTTGCCATATTTAGAAACCAAATAGATTATTTCATGTAGCTGCTATTGCAGCTAAAATTGTCTGAAACATGATTAAACGTTAGAACTATAATGAAAATAATTTTATTTATAGTAATTCACTACCATTTCCATAGCAAAATGGAAAATAAATAGGGGAAGGAAAAGCCTCTGAAGCATATGAAAACCCCCAAATAAACCTCTTCCAACATTAGAAAAGCTTAATCCATTTTCTGAATCAGTATTGTTGCCAAAAGAGTTTTGAAATCTTAATACGTGCCCCTGAAAAATCACCTTTATCAACATAAGAAAGAATAAATATGCTGCTGAGGGAATGAAACAGTAGAAGGAACTGAAGACGTACTGGAAAAGAGTTCATGCTGAGAGCTCTTACACAAAAGTTCACCTTGTGCCAGGAATATCCCCATGGATAAATAAGTCCTGTGCCAAGCTACTTATCCTCCTTGTACTCCATTTCCCCAGGTTCTTCCCGTGTCATTTTCTCTGGTGTTACTGAATGACCATATGAAATGCTCCAGTAGCCCTTGTCACCGAGTGCGTTAGATAGAAAAGCCTTGATTTGTACACTGCTACTGCATAATGGGTCAAAATGAGGCGCATGGATTTTTCTTTCTGGGTGAAAAATGTGACTCAAGGAAGAAACAAAGGTTCTTCACCAGTCTTTTCATCTCTTTTGTCACTAAATATGCTTATTTGTTAATTATTATTCTTTTTATATCTTCTAACTTTCTTCCTTTCATTTCCCAGACCTCTGCCTTTTCATTTTGCTTTCCCACTTACTATGTGGCATCTTCTTCTTATGATTAACAAACCCTCCTCTTATTAATTCTCACCTTGCCTCTGAAAGTTATGAGCCACCTAGAAGTAATTGTTAACCTTAAGAGTTTTTTCATACCATTGCTCCATGTGATCATTAAAACTGCAGTTATGTCTATGAACGCTACATTTGCATAAAGGATTTGTGGGTTCTCACTTTGTGATTTGGCCTTTTAACAGGATGGCTGTAAAGTTTTTCTTCCGAATTACCACTCAGAACTATAAATGACCTTTTGCCTGACAAAATAATGAGCTGATCATGGTTTTGAATGAGGTTTAGGGGTTTTAATCCCAAATCTAATTCAGGAATATGCCTGTTTGTTAGGATACTCCGTCTCACAATTCTTCTCTAATGAAAAACATGGATCTATATTTGATCACAGGGAGGTGTAAATGTGCCTGATAAAAAGCTATCATAAAATGTAATGTATGACTATCCTGTACCTCCATAAAAGTGACCAAAATTGGCTCATATGTTAAACTGCTTTGTGTAACTGATTCCCACAGCAATGGGTCAGGGATGAATGATAATCCAGTATGAACTGAGAGACGCAGGGAGAGACAAGATTGTAAGGACAAGGGAAAAAAAAATATCTATATATTTAACATTATAGTGCAAACTGTTCTACGAGTTAAAACTTCAGCTCAGTTTTGTGTGTTCATCTCTTAGTGTGTATCTCTAACCGATTCTTCAGAGCAAGAAATAAATGAATTGTGTTAAAACAAACAGGTTGAGTTACAGAAAAAACAGTTGGAATCATCAGCTTCCATCTGAATCTTAGTGTCATTGACCTTTATAACAAAATTCACTCTCTTTTTTCAATGGAATATATAATACTTTATAATATTCCATAAAAGCAGTGTACTGATTAGCTCTTCTCCAGTGCTTTCCAAGCAGCTGAGGAAAAGATTCAGTGGGAAGGAAACACTTTTTAGAAGGATTTATTTTTAAAAGGATTTACTGAACTTGACTCACTTCTGCCTTGACCTGTGTAGATGCTGAAGCTGGGGCTTGCAAAGGGACTTTAGATTAGGTGGCCAAATTTTATTGGGATTGCATGAAATCCAGTTATTCTGCTCTTTCTTCCTATATCTTGCATTTGGGGATTGATGTGAAAAGTATTTAGAGGTTCCATTCTTTAGCCTTCCAGCCCTGAATGGAAGCTGAGAATGCTGATCTTTTCCACAAAGTCCAGAAAAAAAAAATCATAATTTCAGGACAATCAAAATATTGAACTCTGGTGTTTTTAATTTCAGAATTACTTTTGAAACATAGGTCAATCTCTTCTGCAACAAAATAGCACTTCAGAAATATCATTACCTTTCCACAGTTTTGCTCCAAAATGTTGAAATGAGACATTTTGATGTGTCAGGACAACTTTCTCTAGTTTCCTGTTGTAAATGAATTACAGCAAAACAGATCGGATGTCATGTGCTTGTTTCAAAGGAAACGCACAGATGGTCTATGGTTCTGGTGAGTGATTCTGTTTAAGTCTTTCAATAGATCTAATAAATACAACATCACTCAGCCTGGCTTTGCTAATCTGTAGCTTCAAAAGTAGCTGCACTTTAATCATTATAGATCAATTAAAACAGAAAAATATAAGCAGGCTATGGGTTACCTCTTCTCCTTCTTCAATATGATAATCCTTCCTTTCGTTTGGCCCTCCAACAAACATCACACTTAATTGATGGCGATGCCTAGAAAAGAAAGTGACATTTTAAAGCTACCTCCACTCCTGATGGTCTTTATTTCATTGAAGACTGCTTCTGAATACTTTGAGGACAGTGAGTCAGTGAAACAGGGCTGAATGCTAAGCAACATCTAGAATGAGAACTCAAGAGCTCTGGATGAATCTCTGCTCTGCGACTGTCCTGCCGAGTGACCAGAGATGTGTTACCATTATCTTGTTTACTTTTTAGAGTATTTAAATGATAACAAGCAACGCATTAGGGACTAGTAAAGCAGAAATAATAAGCTTTGAATGCCAAATTAATTGGTCAAATCAAAATCTAAAGAATTAAATTAGATTACAGGTCTTAAAGTGATCATTTCTGTGTTAGGAAGTTGTATACGTTACAGCACTTGGCTTCATGCCTGTATCCTAAAATAAGGAACTGAAGTCAGATCTGTCTGTACCATGCAGATTTAATGTTCAGTTTTGAGCACGCACTGTAATACCTCTGCATTAATAAACACTCCTACTAAAAAAGGGCAGGAAGACCAAATCAGTAACAGCACAGCTAATAATTAATGAAATAAATTCAAGTCAACTCTGGAGAATAGAAGAAGAGAAAAGCAATAAAAAAAAGGCTCTTAACCTGCTGTTAAGAGGGGTTCTTTTTTTTTTTTATAAAAACCCATATGTTTTTTAATTAGTTCAATAACTAAAAGTGAAAATATTGCTCTATAAATCATTTATTTAGCACACAAAATTTCTACCACCGGAATGGCTGTGGTGAGACGCCAGTGCACAGCCAAGTCATTAGGCCTGGACTTGGACCTACAGACAGGAACATTTCAGGATTCAAATAGTAAAGCAAGATTATTATTTTTCATTGAAAGCAAAAAAAAAAAACAGAACAAACAACAGCTCTTTCTTTATAAAAACTGGTTTTATATTGCTCCTTAGAATCCTTTCTTATGAAAGCTTTCTGTATATATAATTTTAGACAGAATACATCATCCTCAGCTTCACTGACAAAAGAAATTCTTGCTGATGTTGTGACAAGAAGGTGCCACATGTTGGACTCGTTACAATGGGGTTTATGAGCTTTGACACTGAGAATATGAACGCTCTACAACTGCATAATGCCCACACTTTTTCCTTGCATCAGTTGTCTCCCTCAGAATACAATTCATAGCTTCAAGCTGCTTCTTCAGCCTCCCTGCGCTTCCTTGACAGCTCTGGAAACGCCCTGGAAACCTGCTCTTCTGGTGCCCCTGCCCTTCCTTTCTTCTTATCTTCCAGGGGTAAGTCCTACCAGTTTTGATTGCTTGTGCAGCTTTATCTCCTTTGCAATGATGTAAGGACTCTCAGCAGCTCTAACAACTGCTTCAAGTTGTAATTTGGTGCTATTCTGTGCTACTCAACCTTGTCCTCTGTGGATGTGGATGCCACCTCCTCGGATTTCTATGAGTTTATTGCCACATGGCCTGACACAAATCCCCTTAACTCAGTCTAACTGCCTACAAGAGACTTTAAATTGAGGCAAATACATTATGTTTGAGTTGATCTTTACAGCTGATGCTGAGTTACTGCAAATCATTTCACTTCATTTCCTGTTCTTTGAAACAGCACTGACTTTAGTCTGAGAGGAACTACAGTTTCTCGCTGATTTTACCATGTATGTGTTTACAATGTATGCATTTTAGCAGCTTCCTCTAGACTATATCTAAGAACTGGTTTAAAAAAGAATAGCTTCATTTACTTACATAAGCTTATTGCACACAGGTGGCAAGAAGGCAGATTTGTTATCTTCTATCCATTTTCTTACATTTATGAGGAGCTCCATGGTCCACCAGCCCTGAGAGTTTTGATGGAGATACTCGAGCTTGCAGAGGGCTTTGTCTGTGAGCAAACTGCATGTGGCTCCATCCCCACAGCTCAGGGGATTGGTTGGTACAAGAGGTGTCTTCGGGCTCCAGTGTCAAAGGGGATGGGTCCAGGAGTCAAAGGTTGCTTTGTAAAGAGCTCTAATGTTCTGGCAGCTTAGCTAATAATTGACTAGTGTTTCTAAAATATGTATTTTCATCGAAGACTGATGCTGCCCTCAGCAAGTTCCTTCATTCTCTTTACTGCATCAACTTGAGCTTACAAAAATTGTCCACAAGTGCTCACTTTAATTTGATCCACGCTTCGCCAGTGTTGTAGCAGGGCTTGCTGGAGAACTGAACCTGGCTCTGTGATGCCCTTTGGGGAAGTGCAGCACGTTGGCATCAAATTATCAGGCAAACAAGAAACTGAGAACTACCAGGCATTCCAGACCTGTGTTTGTCTTTATTCCCTCACGAGTTCTTGTTCAACGTCTACGTAGTTCCTACAGGATTGCTCGCTCTGTTCCCCACCACCCCTATTTTTAAATGAGAAAATGCATAAACATTTGTTTTCGGACTTGAAATAAGTGAAACGGGTGGTAAGCAGAAACCCCAAGACATTTTAGCACTTTTCAGTTGCTCTTGACGTAGCTTAGTCTTCTGACTATATTGACAGTGTGCTTAGTGACTGAATGCATATGGATAGGTTGTCCCGGGTTCAGCAGTAGCAGTCATTTTTCTCCTTCTCAGTAGCTGGTGCAGCGCTGTGGTTTTGACTTTCAGCCTGGGAACTGTGCTGGTAACACCGATGTTTTTAGTTGCTGCTCAGTAATGTTTACTCTGACCAAGGACTTTGTGAGCCTCATGCTCTGCCAGGGAGGAGGGGAAGCCAGGAGGATGCAGAGACAGGACACCTGACCCAAACTAGCCAAAGGGGTATTCCATAATTAAAAAAGAACCCTCCACTTATTGTGGGATGAGAAGATCCACGTGCGGATCGGAGTTCCGCTCTATCAGTACAATCACAATGTGACTAGTGAGAATTTCCTCTGAAATAAGCTCAAAGGAATTATTATTTCACTCAATTATATAAAAAAAAAAAAAAAAAAAAAAAACACAAAAACAAAACAAACCAGACCCTACATTATTTATTTAGCACACAAAATTTCTACCACCGGAATGGCTGTGGTGAGACACCAGTGCCTCATTAGGCCTGGATCTGGACGTGCAGACAGGAAAATCTCAGTGCTTTTTTTACTGTAGGCTGTTGGCACAATATTCAGCTGCTAAGGAAAGAGATTTTCTAGTTAAAATCCACTTTCACTTAGGGGATTGTGACCCAGCCTGGCAGGACCCGGAGAACTGAAGGCTGTTTTAATGACTGGAGTCATCATTAGAACTCCATTTGTGGGGCACAAAAACCAAGAGGTTATGCAAAGCCACAGTAGGAAAAAACACAGATCCTGGAACTGATAGAATCAAGCCCTGCTCACCCCAAAATTACTGTGCTAGATGTAGCTGCAGGGCTGTTGTTTGCAATCCCCACTCTAATCCCTAGTCTCCACTTTTTTTCCACTAGGCAGAATACAAGGTACAAAGAAAACTATCTCTGACATAGGCTGATAAATCCATTTTGTGGCTAGAGTGAGGTAAGAAAACCCGGTAACTAGACCTACTCGGGGAGCAAACACGAAGTTCACTTATAAAATCCACCTTTAGTATGAAGCTGAGATTACTATTGCCATTTTCTTTACCTAGGTAGCATTTTCTGCTCAGATCCTTCTGCCCATTCCAGGAGCTGGGTTTTCTGCCCTCATTTTCTGCTCAGATCCTTCCCTTTATGTACAGGTAAGGACTCAATTTGTTAGCTTTTGCTGCCAAAGAAGTGCAAGACTACTGAAGCACAGAACTGCTGCACAAAAATAATCCATCTTCTGCATTGAGGGCACAGGAAAATAAATGGCACTGGGAAAAAAAAATAGAGTTTAGGACAGCACCTACTTGATTTTTCTACTTTCCTCATTCACCAGAACTATCAAAGACTAGCTGGTGTCCTGCAAGCAGGATATGTTAACATAAAGCACATAGTAAGCTCAGTACTATGTTTTCAGTTAGAAGAGGTATTCAGGTTCATTGGCCAGGAGTTTTAATCTGTATTAAAGTGATGGAATCATAGAAACATAGAAGCACAGACTGGTTTGGGTTGGAAGGGACCTTAAAGCTCATCCAGGTCCAGCCCCCTGCCATAGGAAACAAACAGCATTGTGAAAGTTGGATCTTAAGGCCTTGTTGTTTTCCTACTTAGTGCTAACAAGTGTTCTAAAAAAATCTTCACCGGGGGAAGCAAAGCAATTTGAGGACAAAATCCTTTTAGTTTCAATTCAACTTTGCCTCTCTGTCCCTGTGCAATACAGAGACTTATTTAGCCACATTAGTGTTAAAATACTGAAGCTACACCGAAGTCATAATCTGGAGATTCCACAAGCAGCCGGAAGCAGGAACTTCCTGCAGCATTAGGACAACTTCAATTTCTTCTATGTGAAGAAATGGGGAAGAGAAGACAGAGATACAAAGAAATAACCCATTTCACCCAGCTTCCTGTTGCTGTGATTTTTGTTTGCTCTTTGAGAACAAATACAAATGAAGCACTTTAATATAAATGTTTTTTTCATTAAAAAAAAACCACAACTATATCAGATCGGTAACAAGCCTGCTACTTGAACCCAAGTATAGCTGTGTTCCTACAGGCTAACCCATGCGGACAAATTTCACTGCTATATTCATAAACGTACTATCAAGGGCAAACATAAGAAACAAGTGTGAAGTGTATCACAGAGCACAATAGCAGAGTTCAGGATCCCACAAAAGCTACCAGAATCTTCACCGTTACCACTGTTACTTTTATGGGAAGGCTAATTAAACCACAACAAGCAGTGATCGTCATCTATATAAACACCAAAATTAGACTTGCTGAGTCCTCCCTCTTGCCAGAGTCTAAGGTTAAATCTGCAATAAACAGCTTGTCTCTCTGTTCACAGCTTCGGCTTTGATTCCTCCCGACGTCCTTGCGTTTGCCAAAAAAGCACTTGTTTGGATGAAATTATCTTCACAGCAATCTTTGTGTGGGATAGAGTATCTCATTTCCTAGTGTAATGGTGCACTGCTAAGGGTAAAGAAGGTAGCTGCTGTGTGTTCTCGTATGCCAACTAAAACCCATGTGAGGATGGAAAATTTCTCTTTTTTTTCTTTCTGTCTTTTTCTCCTATGCCAGCCACCTTCATTAATGGTCGAATACAGCAACTGCGTGTTACTCTACCTGTCAACAGTGTATACCGCCAAACCATATTCTAAGTAATACCGACAGTAATAGTACCAACAGCAGAACAACTTATTTGATTAGTGAGAAGCACCTCGTCCCCATTCAAGACAGACTTAAAGGGTTTCAGCTCATTTATGGGTCAGACGTGGGCGGAGGTAATGAAGCCACACTTAACTGCCACTCATCTGCCAGGAGGAACAGGGTGCCCAGAGGAGCTGTGGGTGCCCCATCCCTGGCAGTGCTCAAGGCCAGGTTGGACACAGGAGTTTGGAGCAAGCTGGCTTCAGTGGAAGGCGTCCCTGCCGGTAGCAGGGGTTGGAGCTGGAGGAGCTTTAAGGTCCCTTAAAGCCAGACTTGTCTGGGATCAGTAAAACAGCAAGGCAAAACCTTCAGGTATCGAAACAAGCAGTTTAGACCTTGTATACGCGATGTCTTTGTATTACAGATGTCCTGTGCTTACACTAAGATGAAGTCAGTCCAAAGGTGAAATAAGCCCTCAGTGAATCATCCATAGGGGGTGACCCACTGCTTTTAGTTATTCCTCCTGTCATTTTAGGATTCCTTTCTACCCGTACTACTTGCTTCGGGAGCGCCCGGCCGCACACAGGGGCAGAGCCGCTCCTGCAGCCACACAGACAACCACTTTATTTCCTGGCTGTAATTAGTTACCGGCTGTCACCAGTTACTTTCTCTCTCCGTTTTGGACCTGAACACTGCAAACGGGTGCAGATGAACTCCACCGACCTGCGGCTCAAAGCGCCTTGCAAACAACATCAACGCGGATGCAAGGTCTCCCGCGCAGCGCAGAGGGCGGTGCTCCTCGACCGGCCGAGGGGGCCGGGCTCTCCCCAGCGCGGTGCTCGCGAGCCCTGCTGCCGGGGAGGCGGAGGGATGGGGGGGGGGTTTGTCCGGGGCAGCGCAGCCGCGCTGCTTCCTTCGTTGCATCCAGCGGCTTCCCTTGCGCTCTCCCCGCGCCGCTGGGAGCTGTTTTGTGTGCTCAGTGGCATAACCGAGTGTGGAATAACGAAAGCTTTCCCGGTGAGAGCTGCTTGTGTGAACTTGCGGTAAATAAAGGTGGTTCTATGCTCTGGTGGTTGATGTGGAGTGCAAGTGAATACTGACTGGTGCAGTCACTACAGCTGGAGGGTGGCAAAATCTCCCTCCTTACTTTGCCTCTGCTTCGGCAGTCTTTGTAACTGCTACTTGCCATGGTCATGCTTTACAAATGAGTGGGCCGTGGCAGGAAGGACAGCAGTTCAAGTACGTGCAGGTTCCTTTTCCCAGCCGGAGAGGTGGCAGAAGGGCAGCTTCCTGAAAGAGAAGAGACTGCTTTTTCAGGCACTGAGGAGGGACCAAGCTGCTCTGTGCTTTCTTCACATGACCTGCTTCATCCTCTTGGTCCTACCTTAGCTTTTACTCTCACTCCAACATGAAATCCCTGTACGGATGCAGAACGTTATGTGTCTCGTGGGTGTTTACAAAATAAGCTATTTCTGAACAATTGCTGGTCATTCCTATCTTAGTTTTTTCTTACCAGTTTTAAGACTATTTGGCTGTTTTGAACCCATTTTTCCCATTGATAACCCTTTTCAAGACTTTTTTGGCTATTTCTAAACAATTGATGGCCACTTCTATCTTATTTTTGCCCACTTCTTACCCTTTTTAGGTCTTTTTTGGCTATTTCTGAACAATTGATGGCCATTTCTAGCCTGTTTTAAGTTTTTCTTAGCTATTTCTAAACTGGCTTGAGCTATTTCTAACCCTTTT